CAGGAGGTCTAACACCAGGAGATATATCCAGTTCCCTGAGAATCCGGACCCTCAAACACATAGGGTTTTGAGGGCCCGGACCCCTGCTATGGAGGGCCCGACCCCTGCTATGGAGAGCCCAAGGATTCTCAGGGTTGAAGATATATTCCAGGAGGATTCAAGAGTTGCCCAAGACTCTTGTATCATCAGGGCAGGGCTCCAGAAAGCAGATATCATGCACTCCCTGGCACTAAACATATGGGCCAAATGTGGGGCTGGCCGTGATTTCGGATGACCATGAGACTCTCATACCAAACAGGTGGTGCCATCCACTTCCATAATTCTTTCAGGGAGTGAACATGAACATGATCCACGTATCAAGTCTTCAAGATCCATCACAACTCCAGGGCTCCGCGCAGTGGACTTCTTTCCAGTTGGCAGCTGGCTCAAAGACATGCTGGGCCTCCGTCAGAAGGTGATGCTGTTTACGTGCGATGCATGCCGAAGCCACAGGTCTTGGGCATCCAACAGGCAACACATGCGCTCACAGCAGGACCCATTGATCCAGGCCACAACCCAAGCATTGCTTGATTTGGGACCAGAAGCATCTTCATCTGAGATTGCAGCAATCCTGCCTGATGTCAATCAATCGAGAGGGCAGGTAAGACACATTTTGAAAGAATTGGCGCAAAAGCGACAAGCAGAGTTGGTGCTCAAGGTGATTTGGGCATTGCAAGACGGGGGCATTCGACTGAATGTGAGGGACTACACTATGGGGATCTCAGTATGTGCCAGGTCGAAGTTGTGGCAACATGCGTTGAGCTTGTTTGCAGCCATTCCAGTGGAACAGGCAAAGCCTGACTTGATTTGTTATAATGCTGCAATCAATGCCTGCCAAACGGGTGGGCTTTGGCAATATACATTGACGTTGTTTCAGGCAATAAAGGAGGCAACATTGAAGCCAGATGTGTTTTGCTACAACGCTGCTATTGGGGCTTGCAAGAAGGGCAGTGAGTGGGAGCAGGCATTTGTGTTCTTCGAGAACATGTCAAGTTACAGCATGCAGCCAGACATTGTGAGCTACAATACAACCATCAGCGCATTGGAGAAGGGCGGGCAATGGCAGCAAGCGCTGAACCTGTTTGAAGCAATGCCAAAGTCAATTGTGCAGCCAAGCGTTATCACTTACAATGCGACGATGAGTGCCTGTGTGAATATTGAAGTCTGGCAGAAGGGGTTGGAATTGTTTGCGTTGATGTTTGGACGGAACGTTTTGCCAGATGTGATTAGCTTCAGCACAGCCATCAGTGCCTGTGAAAAGGCTGGTTGGTGGCAGCAAGCGCTCCACTTCTTCAAATTAATGCCAGAGTTCAAGGTTGAGGCAGACGTTACCAGCTACAATGCGACCATCAGTGCCTGTGAAGGGTGTGATGTTTGGCTGCTTGCATTGCAATTGTTTCAGTCAATGATCAACAGAATCTTGACACCTGATGCCATTAGTTTTTGTGCAACAATCAGTGCATGTGGGCAGGCCTGGCAGTGGCATAAAGCCTTGAAGTTGTTGGAGGAAATGCCTGCACACCTTGGAAAAGATGTGGTCGTGCACAGTGCTGCTATGAGCGTTTGTGAGAAGTCTTGGAGGTGGGCAGAAGCCTTGAATTTGTTTTACCACATGCCACAAGCAACCGTGCAGCCGAACACCTTTTGCTACAGTGCTAGCATCAGTGCCTGTGAGAAGTCTTGGCAATGGAAAGAAGCTTTGAGATTGCTCTCTTCGATGCCCAAAGCAGGTCTTCAGCCAAATGTTTTTTGCTTCAGTGCAGCCATCACCAGTTGCGATAAGGGTGCCGAATGGCAGCTAGCGCTGACTATGTTTTGGGCAATGCAGGAGGAAGCTCTTCAACCAAGTCTCATCAGCTACCTGGATGTTTGTGTGTGTGAAATAATTTTGTGCTGTCCTATGATTCCTATATATATATATAGGAGATTTGGCACAAAGTATATTGCCGGGTGCTGTAACACTGGCATGACATGTGCTTATATTGGACCCTTACGTTGAACACGGGCTGGGTTGACCCGTGTTTGGTTTTAATCCTCCATTTTGTTTCCTCCCTGACCCATGAATACACCTATTGAAGACACATGAAAGCACCGGTCGTTCTAGTTTCAATTGTGTGTTGGGTAAATCCCATACCTTCACGTACTATCTTGTTCCTAGTAGCATGCTACTAGTGCCACGAGCTACTAGTAGCTTCTTGCTACTAGTAGAAATGCCCTTGTTACTAGTAGCATTTTGTTACTAGTAAGGCCGGGAGCTACGTTCGTAGCGTCCTTGCTCCGTTCGTAACGATGCCCTTGTCAATTGCCTTAAGCCACTTTGCCCATCCACCGACTGGTGGCTCCACTTTGGCCGAGCTGGTTCCTCCAATTCCCTCAGAGCTGGCTGCCATGAGGTTACAACGCTGCCATTGCTGCTTGTGAGAGGACTCACCGATGGCAGCAAGTCTTGAAGCTTTTGGGGCAGATGCGAAAGACCAAGATTCAGCCGGACGCGATCAGCTTTCATGTGACTTGGATGGGTTTTCAGCCAGCGAGGCAACTGATTGAAGGTCACATTCATCAGTAAATGTGTTGACCATGGGAAGAGGAGAATGAGAGAAGCGGAAAATCAGATATTGTTATAAACACGAACAGAAGCGTTGTTGTTGATCCCCCAAGTGGCAAGTCAGTTGTGCTTTTTGATCCCCCAAACAATTGGTGCAAGCGCAGACCCAGTGACAAACCCAGTGTTCAGTCTCAGGGGTCGTAGAACGACGGGTTGCTGGTCGGAGTGTGTCGGTTGCATGGGGGTCGCCCTTAGCTTGGACCAGGCTAAAAGAACATACAGTCACCATGATCCAACTCCAATATTGGCCTGGCTCCAAATGGGTTTTTTCGGCAGTTTGCAGATTGCCCGTTTTTTGCAGACTTCGAACCCCCCCCGCAAAAAACAAGGTACCGGAATCAAGGAAAGCACAGGTTTTTTGCAGCTCCTTCCGAAAAACAAGTAACTTTGAAAGCATTCAGCTACCGTAGAGTTCCTTCATATTGAGCAATGCCCTTCTGGTGTTCCAGGGTCCTTCACCATCTATTCGTCCCATTCCATTGGTGTTCCGTCCCAGGCGATCATCGGTGTTTTGATGAAGTCTGGGCAATGGCCGCGAGTCACAGCCTTTCCACTGCGGGGCACACCTCTCCTTGTGACCCACGAGCAAGAATCGCTGCTGAGGGATGGTGATACTTGGACAAAAGATCAGTGCATGGTAACACCTGAGAATATCGGGGAGTGATGAATCAACAGTCTATATGCATCAATTGTTTTGATTTTGTGTTCTGACTCAAATGCAAGGAGCTGTCCTTTTGGAAGGGAAAAACCAAGAGTTTTCATACTATTGCAGTTGTGACCAATGTCAGGGTTCCTTTATTCCTTCTTTTGGGGGATCTAGACAAGAATAGGTGGAAGTTTCTGTGTGTTCTTAGCATGGTCACAATACGTGACTGGAGTGGTGGAATAGGTGGAAGTTCTTATCCGCAAACCTGGGGATCTTATTGTCCAGGTTCCTGCACTCTCAATCCAAGTTTCATTTTAATGGTTCACAGATGGTGGATTTCGGCTCGAAAGTCGGATGTGGAAGCCATCCAACCCACCCGTCGGTGCGGGTACTGAACCGTTCTGGGTCCGTAGACCAGACAAATGGGACTGAAAGAGTTATGCCGCCATGCATGGGTCATAAACAGGCTTCATGTATGTAACTATTCCAGTGCACTGGATGGTCTGGGTAGGACATAGACATGCTTTTGACTTTCAGTATGCCGGGCTTCTTGGAAGAAACCAGCCAGGCAGACAAGTGAGCACGACACAAACAGGATACACAACATGCAAACACACACATACACAAATGTTTTTGCAGCACAACAGCACAACATGAATCCTCCGCTGTGTGTTGGCCTCCCAAGGTTTCCAGGATTCCCGTCACCTTCGCACCGTGGGCCGCCACGGCATCCATCCAGCATCGCTCATCGAGCGATTGGCAGACCGATTGGTGGACAAAGAGCTGGAGCAGAACGTTTGTGTGTGGCTTCAAACAAGTTTGTGTGGCTTCAAACAAACGACCCAGGATGACCCAGGAAACCTTTGGCATTTTGAAGCTTCCTGCAGCCATTGTCCCACCATACCAGTACCTGGGGCGTCGTTGAAACCCAACTCCCACATATGATGTCTTCACTTCACTCGAGCTTCGTGGGGGGGTAGCGAACATGATCGAACATGTACGAACGCCGTCCTCGGGTAGCGGGTCCTTGTCCGTTCGGCTCGTGACCGCCTTTCAGAGAACCCAAGGGCCGTTCGGAACGGCCGGTAGCCTTCGCTAACTGAGATGAGAGGTGGAGCATGGTGGAGCTCGCAGTTTTCGGCGCCGACTGGTGGGATTGTCTTTGTTCCTTGGAGGACTCTCCAGAAGTGGTATGAGAACTGTAGGTGTAGGAGTTAGTCAGAGAAACAGAAGAAGTGGTTCAACTCATCGGTTGGTGATCCCCTCATTTTTTCAGAACCCATGTACGAATTTGTAGCGTTTCGCGCTCCAAATTGCTCGGGGGGACGAGAAGAAGGTACAGGTCAATTTGTTGTGATAGTGTGAGACCTTTGCTGGACCCCTTCCATGAGCAGACCCAGCCGGACAGCCCAAGAACCTCCGAGTGGACTTCTGAAAGTCACATTATTGAGTGGACTTTGGTTCTAGGGACTGTGGCGCAGTTGCCATTAAGAATTGTATACAAATATGGAAGGGTAGACAGCTGCCGCAGAGGGCATCATTGTCTTGAAGGGTCATTGTGCTCCAGACTCAGTTTTGGGGAGGAGGTGGAACTTTTGCTCTCCCAAGTCCTTAACAAGCAAGCCAAGCTGGGCATGTTGCCGCCTTTGGGGACCAAGTCTTTTGGGTACAGCCGCGCGTAAGGAGGGTGGGGCGCAGTAAGCCGCGCGAATGGGTATGCAGAAAGCCGCACGAAACCTTTTTGATGCCCTTCGAAGCCACCGAGTGTCCACACGATGGAAGGCCCATATCAAAGATCCATTGATCCAGGCCACAACCCAAGCATTGCTTGATCTGGGACCAGAAGCATCTTCATCTGAGATTACAGCAATCCTGCCTGAAGTCAATCAATCGAGAGGGCAGGTAAGACATATTTTGAAAGAATTGGCGCAAAAGCAACAAGCAGACTGGGTGCTCAAGGTGATTTGGGCATTGCAAGATCGGGGCATTCGACTGAATGTGAGGGACTACACTATGGGGATCTCAGTATGTGCCAGGTCGAAGCTGTGGCAACATGCGTTGAGCTTGTTTGCAGCCATTCCAGTGGAACAGGCAAAGCCTGACTTGATTTGTTATAATGCTGCAATCAATGCCTGCCAAACGGGTGGGCTTTGGCAATATACCTTGACGTTGTTTCAGGCAATAAAGGAGGCAACATTGAAGCCAGATGTGTTTTGCTACAACGCTGCTATTGGGGCCTGCAAGAAGGGCAGTGAGTGGGAGCAGGCATTTGTGTTCTTCGAGAACATGTCAAGTTACAGCATGCAGCCAGACATTGTGAGCTACAATACAACCATCAGCGCATTGGAGAAGGGCGGGCAATGGCAGCAAGCGCTGAACCTGTTTGAAGCAATGCCAAAGTCAAGTGTGCAGCCAAGCGTTATCACTTACAATGCGACGATGAGTGCCTGTGTGAACGTTGAAGTCTGGCAGAAGGGGTTGGAATTGTTTGCGTTGATGTTTGGACGGAACGTTTTGCCAGATGTGATTAGCTTCAGCACAGCCATCAGTGCCTGTGAAAAGGCTGGTTGGTGGCAGCAAGCGCTCCACTTGTTTGCAGCACTGTCCAACTTCAGTGTGCAAATGGACGTCGTCAGCTACAACGCCACCATCAGTGCCTGTGAGAAGGGCTGGCAATGGCAGAAGGCGTTCTTTTTGTTTCATGCAATGGGAGGAGCCAGCTTCCGTGCAGATGCTATTACTTTCAGTGCAACGATCAGTGCGTTTGAGAAGGGCGGGCAATGGCAGGGAGCTTTGAGGTTGTTGGAGGCGATGCCAAGGGCAACCATCGATCCAGGCCCAGGTAGGTAAACACAAATGATAAACTATGCGGCAATGGATCCTAGGGTATCTATAGATGCTATAGAAGAAGAGTCATGCCTTCATTCCCTGCTAAGCACCATTCAGTAAACCGAAGGAGCCCTTTCCTTTGTGAAGCAGTAAAACATAAGCTTTCCCGTGTGTCAACATCATTTGATCAGCATCCAACATCTTTTTCTGGGAATGCGCCTAATTTCATCTCAGAGTTGGCACCAAGGTGTCAATTGAACACTGTCCTGCATCGCTTTTGAATATCTCCCTGCAGGTGTATTTGCCTACAGTGCCAGCATTAGCGCCTGCGCTGCCGGATCGAAATAGCTTGAAGCTCTCGAGCTCTTCCAGCAAATGCAGCTTTCCAGCCTAAGACCACATGTGGTCACCTACAGCGTGACTCGGCTTTCTTAAAGGTACTATTTCAGACCATCCACTTACGCAACATTTACATACATCTATTGTGACCCTAATCCCCTACACCTCCAAGTACCTCCTCAGAAGGTATTTAGACCCTCCAAACCCACCCCAAACACCTTCTCAGAAGGTACTTGGAGGCTTAGGGATCTAAACTAAACAACAACTCCAGTCGCATGGAGTGTTTAGACCCGCAATCATCGTTTCCTGATGTGTCCCTAAAGTGGGGACGAAGACGGGCCAGGGCGCCATCTTGAGGACTGCAAGCCACAAAGCCTAGGCATAGGGTGACATCGTCAATTGAACGGAGATAAAGGCGATTATAGGCGATTAATGGCGATTATAAATTATATGATTATATAATATACAGTATGTGTAAAGTTGTGGTTAGGTTAGGCGGACGAGCAGTCTTGAACATTCTTGGGTTCAATATATGGGTGTGCGTATTCTAGTATGGAGACCCCCTGGCCCAAGTGGTGGGGGCTCTTTTGGGGTCCTTTTAATTGAGCTACGCACCCATATGGTCTTATTCTCTTGAACCATAGTCAAGTGGGACAAGTCTGACAATTGCGTGTCTTCCGTGTTTCTTGCGAAAAAGGCGACGATGAGTGCCTGCGAAAAGGCCGGTGAATGGCAATCTGCGCTACTGTTGCTGGAGGCCATGCGTCGAGTCGACATACCACCTGGTGTTACAGCTTACAGTGCAGGCATCAGTGCGTGTGAGAAGGGCACGCAGTGGCAGCGAGCGGTCTTTTTGCTGACTGAGGTCATGCCACAGGCCGAGTGATACGGATAGAAACCTAGGCCTATATAATATATAATCCAATAATAAACAACTTGCCACACTACCCAGCTAGCACCGTTTTTTGACCAAGCTTTGCATGACTTATATACTACAGTAGTTACTGTAACCTGTAGATGTTGTTGTGAAAAAAAAGTGTCTGTTTTTGAGATGTTGTCCATAAAGTCTATGACATTGTTGTTGGTGTTTTTCCAGCTCAAGGCACATGTATTGCCCAATGTTGTCGCCTACAATGCGGGCATCAGCGCCTGCCAGACGTGCAATCACTGGGCCTATGCCTTGCAGTTGTTGCTCCGTCAGAGGGTTTCGACTGTTTTCAGGTGATGCCATGCCATGGGTCGTCTTCTTCCGCGTCACGGTGTCACCACACCTGACCAGTGGTTTCCAACACGTGGACCCGGCAGACCTCAAAAGAAACAAAACAAAAACACACATCTCATACATCCAGAAGCCCGGAAGCCCTGGAAGATTCACATGGAGCTTTTCAGGGTGCCATTCTCAAGAGGGTCCAGGTTCATTTTGCCGGAGTGTAGATCATCCAGAAACCCATCACGCCCTGTCATCACGAACTTCTTAGTCACATAGAGGTGGAAGTTCGGGTAAGCACCATCCCTTTGTAGCCCTTGGCAGCTTCCTATGAACAGCTTTGTTCAATGCATTCCCTTGCATTCCCATGCACCTTGCTTCTCATGGCCTGTCCATGTTTTTCTCTGCAACCACTCTTTTTTGTGAGGGTGTTCGCACAGTTTCTTTTTCAGCGCAACTCTTGTAGTCATTGTAGTGTTCCATCCTGCGGAAAATACAAAAAACAGTTGTTCACCCCACCTGGAGGTTGTACGACATGCGATGTGCACATGGCGTGCAACCGGACGTCATCAGTCTTAACGGATGTCTTGGAGCCTGCGCGCTGGCGGTCCAATGGCAACAGTGCCTGGCATTGTTGGGCTCCATGTCGGCCCAAGACACCCGGAAAAAGACGAAGGGGTCGAAGGAGTGCTGTTTTTGTTGTGTTTTCTTTGTGTTTGAAATCAATTTTTACTCTGCAGTAACAGCTAGGAAGGGGCCAGTATTAGTATAGTTCTCTTCTTGGGAGGGGAAATGGGACAGTTGTTGCAAACAGATCTCAGGATATTGAGCCTGATGTTACAAGCTACAATAGTACCATCAGTGCTTGCTTGAAAGGCGGCAAGTGGCAGCCAGCCAGGTACAGGTTCTTGCAGAGCCTTGCAAGGAACCAGCCGCAGGTGAGAGAAAATGTGCTGGCTTCTGGTATTATATATACTACCCAGTCATAGCCACAACACTTTTGGTAAATTGATTGGAATTGTATAGTGGGCTTAGATTTGATTAATTCAGTGGTTGGACAAAAACAAGTTGATGCGACGAGGAAAGATCAAAAGGTTCATCAACATAAGTTGAATCTATCTCCTTGTACCACTTAAAATCTTGAAGGGAAAAACCTCACCTGGAAATTCGATGTTGAACTTGAAGAATCTGTTCCTGAACCCATCATTCACTTGGGTCACCTACCCTACCCGTTCGCTTGCATTACCCATGGAACCCAGGAGCATTCGTCCTTCACTACTGTGCAAACCAAAGCACTTATCCTAAGCCTCCAGTCGTACCTTCGTTTCGAAGGTGGGACTGGGGGCCGCCCGGGTGCCAGGAGGGTCCAGTCATACCGAACCTGAGGAGGTACGACTGGAGGTGTAGGATTGTTGTGCAACCATGCAAATATAGTCATCCTGGAGTAGATAGAATGTGGGAACAATCTGAGCACCGAGAGGAGACTGGTCAATTTTATTGGTTTGGTCTTTCTATCTACTCCAGGATGTTTGTACAGTATGTAGAACTCTTGACACCAATCCTGTGATTGTTCTTATGACTTGGCCCGGCCCGTATACACTGGAACCTCTTTGGATTTGGCATATTTTGGGAACATAATCGATCACCTTCAATGAGAGATCCCATATTCTGGGGTGATATCAAAAGTATTATCAAATCCTGATGTGTACCTTGAATCCTGTGTGCCAGAAATGACTGGGCCCTGATCATTTGCAAAGGATCGATTGATACTGTGTTTGGAGAGTACCAATTCACAGTTCACTGTCCAAAGTTTGCACACCCACATGATATTAGCCTTTGACATCACGTCCTAAGGTCCTTAATGTTTCAACCAAAGTCTTAAGTCCCATTTGTGTCATAGGTCATAACAACCACATGTTCTATTCTTCCACGCTTGGATGTCCACTTGCGGGATGTATCACTGTCATCATGCATGCATGCATGGATCTGTCCCTGAGATGGCAGCATCCATGGTTGTGCTCCCTCCAAACTTCCGCTGGCGGCACCAAACATCCTGCTGACTTTAAAGGTTTGATCATAAGAGACGTTCTTGAAACCTCCGATCGGGTGTATATATAAGTATATATTAATATATAACTTAAATATGCAACAAATATATGTAATATATGTTCCACTTCGATGTGTTCGTCAGAGTCTACATGCAATGGACACTAGTTGGTTTGTGAATCCCCAATGGGTTTTGTTTCTTCCAAAAATCTGTGAGCCAGATGTAGGGCTCTTGGCCGAAGGTGCAGTAGACGGATGGAAAAACAATGATTAGATCATTTGGATTCGCAACTTCGCATGCACTGGCCGCCATGCGAAGTTACCACCCTGGCTGTTGTTTTCGGAAAAGACCGGAGGCTGAGAAGCTTAGTGGCAACGACTGGAAGGCTGAAACATGTTTCGTTGGCAGCTGAAGACTGCTTTCCTCCGCGCGAAACGCGGCCGGACGCTCCAAGACTCCAAGACTCTGCTCGTTGGCCGAGAGTCTGCCAGTTGCAACCACCGGTTCAGAGGCCACCGTTTTGAGCGCACAGTTGGAAGATCTTTTCGGGCGACTGAAGACAGAGACGTTGAAGTAGAAGTCTGCTCTTCGCAGAGGACGAAACTGGTCTTGCGGAACTTGACGAGTCAAATCTCGCAATGTGCTAGGTCGACGTGTTGGCCAGAGGCTTTGAACTTGTTTGCTACGATACCCACAAGAAGACTGGAAGCCGATGTGATTTGCTACAGTGCGGCCATTAGTGCCTCTGAAAAGGGGGCGTTGTGGCAGAATGCCTTTATTTTACTGGAAAGAATGAGGGAAGTTAAACTGCAGCCAGACGTTTTCAGCTACAACTCAGCAATCAGCTCATGTTGCGATTGGAGATACGCGCTCGCACTCTTGCAAACGATGTGTGCAGAGTTGGCACAACCAGATGTGGTGAGCTACAATGCGATCATGTGTGCCCTAGGACTCCGTAGGGACAATGCAATCTTGCATAGAAATCGCCCTGTTCTGCCGTTGCGGCAAGACCAAGGATCAGAACGGTTTCCGGTTTGAAGCGTAGTTTGAAGCGTATGGGCAAAATATGGCAAAATGGTGTGAACACGTGTAGCGTATCTCGCTCGGAAAAAACCATTTCGCTGGTGTTCCCTGAGGACGTGCAGGGCAATGGCAGAAGGCGTGCGACGTCCTGGAATACATGAGGGAGGTGAGACTTGGCCAAGTGCATTGTGTTGATTTTTGAGCTGGGGAGCAAAAACAACCGAAACAATGATTTGGATTAGGATGGGTCCAAATTGCTCCAAGCAAATCTTATTGGGAATATCAATGTTGACCGGCGTACCTTTGATGTATGTTTCACTGTTTCCTGTTAGTGGGTCGGTGCATCCTCCGGATATCTCGGGATTTTCACATGGGGTACTACCGCCGGACGAGAGGGGGGAACGACCACTCGTCAGACGGAGCTTGGAGCTTAAATACCTCGGTCCCTGAGGTGTTTTCATGGGGTTTCGACCAACCCTTTAAGCCACTCATTTGTGAGGATCCTTATGTTCACCTTTTGAAAGGCAGGCTCCAGCTCAGAGCAGCAGCTTCAGCTCATCCTCGGCCCTTTCACCTCTCTGCTCATCCTCGCAGGTGAGACTTCAACCCACTCTCATCACGTTTTCCTCGCTTTTGGGGCTGATCCGCTGGCAGTGGATTTCACGGATACTTGATAGATCCGTTGCAGCCGTGCAATGGATTTGACATGTGTAGAAGACAGTATGCCCGGTCCACTGCTGGGGAATTACGCGGTGTAGAGGAAAACGAGTTTGATGTTTTTTTTTTCCATTGCCTTATTCTTGTAGCCTTTTTCCATAGCCTTGACTCCACAACACACGCTCCGTTTTTACTCACTCGACCCAAGCGATGGCAGGTGGCTGTCCAAGCGATGGCAGGTGGCTGTCCAAGCGATGCAGCAGATGGTCCAAGAGAAGATTCCACAGAATGCCTACAGCTTTAGCGCTGCGATTAGCTGCGCTGCTCGATATGAGTTTGTTTATGATCAGACAGACGGCTTCATGTTTTCATCGTGGTTTTTGGTAGGGGAAGGGCAGCAGGGTTCACCATGCCCCATTGATTTGGCAATCAGACGTTCTTGTTGGCCGGGGGTGGTGTTCTTGTACTTTGCGCACCTTCTGGACAACGTTTCATTCGCAGAGCATCCGAAGCAACGTTTTGTTCTTGCTGCGCTGATGCGCTATTTTTTGGCATGAACTAGAGGTGGTCGGACAGTGTCAGTCAGGGCTTTTACTCAATGCAACCGCAACCTCGCAATCTTGCATGATTGCCAGGAGGCTTCGTGAGGGCTCGTCAACTCGTTGTGATGTTGTTTTCCATGCAGCAGTGCCAGTGAATTGGCCAAAGGTGCAATCTCTGAGTGATGTTTGTTGATGTGTGTTTTCCCTGTGGGTGAATCACCTTTGGGGAAGAGCCTTTACTTTTCCTGGCAATCCAACAACTTTGAGGTGCATGTCAGAAGGCTGCCCAATGGAGAGCTGCCCTGCAGTTCTTGCAGACAGCGAACACCAGCGCCGCCGGCGCCGCGGGTTTGGTGTCGTCCGTCACCAGCAATGCTGCTATCGGCTGCTGCATGAGAGCTGGGCAATGGCAACAGGCAGAAAGCATTGCCGTCAATGGTTCTGAAGGTTCGGTGCTCATAGCTTTGGACACTAGTTCTTTTCGGACGAGCTTCACCCTTTTTCAACACATTCATCAGGACGGTGCTGCTGGGTGAATGTTTATTCCTCGTTGTCCCTGGCTTGGTCGAATGAGTGCGGAGGGAAAGCAATCCTCCTTCCAGTTGTTTTGGGCTGCCTGCATAATTTTTTCTTGTGGGATGGTCCCACGGCCATGCGGTTTCGGTTGGATGGGGTTGTTCGACAAATGTGTATATGGGAGTTGATCGAAAACCCCGTGTAAGGAGTTTTATATAAAGCAGCCTTTCAGATGTTGTTAGAACCATCCGCGAAAGATTCGCGATGAGGTTCGCGAAAGTATCTTTTTTTTCCGCGAAAGATTTATCGAAGGTCATCGCTTTCATTGTTTTCCTTTCTACCGGACTGACAAAGAATAGAAACGCAAGGCAATCCTCCGGCAGAGCCAGTGGGCGAAGTGTCCCCATGTCACAGACTAACGAACTGAAGCCTCAACCTTTCCGTGCCCAGCCCTGGCAGTGCGTAAAGGATTCTCCGATTCCTGTCCCCACTGTCACATACTAGCAAGCTGGGTAGGCGCAGCCCTGACAGTGAGGTAACGACCTGCCGCTGCTCTGACGGGCTGTGCAGATGTTTGCAAATGTTACGGCGTCCCGGGGAAAGCACCAGTGAAATTTCGCGAAAGATCCGCGAAGGTTTCGCGAATGTGCCGCTAAAGTCTAGGTTCCCAGCTTGAGGCCCCCAACATTCCCCAAGCCGCATCACCCTGTGTTGGTAGCTGACACGAGGATTGGGTTGAGTTGTGCCTGACTCTATTTGGCACAATTGTCCCACAGATGCTGCAGGTGACCCTGAGTAGCTGTGGAAACGTTCAACCATCTACTGGGGTCACGCTGCAAGACGTCTCTCCCTATTATGACATGTTCCGGCTCATGTAAGCTAGACATGGTTGTAGGACCATGCTTCGCGATGAGGCCGCGAAAGATCCGCGAAAGATATCTTTTTTTCTGCGACGAATGGCCATTCCAGGATGAAAGAATATTGATCAACCACCATATGTTAAATATTGTAAAACTGTATATATGTTATACAATATATATATATATATATCATTTATCATGAACCGTGAATAGAATCAGGTCGATTTGTTATTGCAACCGCTTGGGATCCCATTCCGATCCTGTTCTGCTCCTGTTCCTTGGGAGGAGACCCGGTTTGGGAGGCTTCCGTCCGCTCTCCGGTCCAGCCGGGTCTCCGGTTGTATCAAACTGACCTGAAAAAGGACCCTGCTTTGCTTTGAAAAGAACCCTACGTATGGGATAGTACCACTAACTAACTAGGCTGTGGCTTTTTCAACTCGGTCGAACCGCCGTGGTTTGTGCGGCGTCCCTGGAGGCCCTGAGTTTGTTTCGTTCAATGCGTTCGATGCGTTCGACGGATGCTCTGGGCTATTCCTTGGGCGTCAGCGCTGCCGAGCGTTTGACACGGTGGGCTGAAGCACTCAGATGCTTGGCAGAGACAGACTCGATCAGACTCGGCCTCCCATGGCGGGGGAGCAACCCTTATTTTTCTTTACGTTTGGGGGAGCGTCCTGGCAGATCCTTTACTTGTGTGGTGTGGGACCTCAGAAGACCATGCTCCTTGGCAAGCCTGGTCAGGAGTTGTTCAACGCTTTGATTTGAACATAGACAACCGGAGGACGTGTTTTCTCAAAGTATCTCCAAGTCGTTGGCAGAAATCCGGAGGACGTGTGCCTCTCCACGTTGCAGTGATTTAATGTGTTCCAGGTCGTACGGCCTTTCTTCCATCCGCAGTAGGTGAATGGTATGTCAAATGAAAACCTGGTGATTTGTACAATGTTCACTTGTGACTTGTGTGTGTGTGTTAATCCAAAGCCTTGTATGCGTACGCTAAAGGTAATCCAAAGGACACCCACATGCCAAAGGTGCTTTGTGTGACACCAAGTCCACCTGAATAGGACAAGCTACGGAGGAATAGATTGGCTTCATCATGTGTGCAAGTTGAAGTCGGTAACAAGGATCGGTCGATGGATAGCAGAGAGGGACTCATGCAAAAAAGATCAATGAACGTGCTTGAAACACCAGCGGTTCGAGACCCATTCGACCCAGTGGGTTGTGTTCAATGGACCTCCTGACCAACTGGAGATGTCGGACCTCCGACGTGCCAACCTGCCAACTAACATTCCGCCTCCAGTTGAGCAAGCTGTGGCATAGTAACCAGTTATGGTGTTTGGCTCACATGGGCCATGGGGCTTAAGGGGATTCAGGCTCTATTCTGATTCCACCCTCCACCGCTATTTTCTTTTGGAGGGTGTAGATGATATGAACCTTGATGATCAGTTGCTACCTCAGTTAGGCACACGTTGCAACCACTCAATCGTCACAATCACGGGAAAAAAATGGTCGATTCGACTCAATTCGAGGCCTGCTGGAGGCAATCTGGCATAATGAGCTACCTTTGAGTCGAAGGAGCTACAACGCCTGCCTGAGCGGCTGTGGAAAGAGCAGTGAATGGCGCAAGACCTTGAGGTGGGCGCAAGACCATGGAATTCGGGGGCAAGATGGTGTTGAAGGACACTTTTCCGACTGCGCTAAGACTTCGGAAGCTTGAAGGTTTTCTATATTTTTAAATGTTCAATGTTGTGTGTGGAAAAAGATCTGAGAATGGTTTTGCTTTGGGATTTGAAGTCGAAGAGTCAAGTAGGCCCAACAGGGGATGCCTTCACAGTAGGATTGGGCAAGAAGTACTTCCCAATAACCTCTAAATATTCACCACTACAAATGGTAATATACCCACTCTGCCCCTGAACAGTCTGACTAGAAGACGATTCTCCTCTACCAACTACCAACCAGTGTGTTTTGTGGCTCAGTCTGTTTTGAATTACAGTACATATCTGAATGAGTTGAAATCCATCACATGGGTCACTCCCTCCACTATTTTGCGGAACCATATTTGGCATCCGACTCCAGAATAGCAAAAAGCAGTGGTTCCAGAATAGATGGCACAATCCCCAAGGTCGGTGGTTGATATGGACCCCTATATAAAAGTCATCTTGGGGTGCCAGTGCCATCGAACCTCTGAGTTTCACTGGTCTCCCACCTCGCGGAGGCTGCTGAGTGGCATGGCTTCCTCTCATTTGCAACCCGACGTGATCAGCTTCAGCTCGGCGATCAGCCGCTCGGAACTGATCCGACGGAACGGGCCGGTGGCAGAGCGGCCGATGTGGGAGGGGTGCCCACTCTGCAGTGGTATGGCGAAGCCTTAGTTGTGGCTTTCAAACTGATTGGGCTAGATGGGCCAGACACGAAGTGCTGTGCGTCCTCAGCCCTGCAAAGTCCTCTTTGGATTTTGAGATGACTTGGAGGGGTGTCTAGCCTCAGGGATTCGTTGGATTCATCCCTTCGATATCGCAAGATACCACATGTAGTATTTGTTCATCCTGGTTTTGCTTAGGGTGATGTTGATTTTCCCGAACTAGGTGAATCCCCCGGCAGGGAGAATATTTGGTTTATAATTACATATATATATAATTACTGTATGTGTTTTTCTCAGTTTCTGAAGCAAATCCAAGTCTTTTTAAATGGGAGTGTATTTTCCGGTGCTTGAAAAACAGACTCACGAGTGGCCTACCCTTTCGAGAAATGGTGCTGGAAGGTTGAAGAAGTTTGCAAGTTCGACCGCTGTGCAATCAGCATGTTCAGAAGAACTGAATCTAAAAATACACGGTACAACACATATATATATATATACATATCAATGCATGTATGATCCTCCAGTCCATATCCTCCGAAAACTGTGTGTGCGAGAGCTTCTAGATGAAAAGAGGTTTGATGAGCTTTGCATTGACTTCTTGCAGATGTCAGGTAGAGTCATTTTATGCTGGGTGTGTGTGGACATCCTATACACCTGACAAGGTTATGGAAGACAATTTTATGTCTATAACATGGGGCTAAGGACCCTTTACCCAGAACGGACACGGGGATCATGTATGTAGTCGCATCATGTAATGTCATGTCATGTCATGTCATGTCATGTATGAACACATATGAAATACGTTTTATTTGCTTGTTGCCTTGTTTGGAACCCAGACTCAGACAGTGACATCGGCGACGTGAAATCAGAGGAGGTCCAATCCCCAAGTTCAAGGTATGTACTTGGACATGCCGCAACGGTTTGCACTCTGGGCTCAAGTTCCATGGAAGCGGACAACCCCCTGTTCGCAAAGAAGAGTAATCTTCTAAGGGACGAGCCATTTCTCTATCTTCCACATCCATGTTGGTGTGTCAGAGTGTAACGAGCCATTTCTCTTTGTTGCTTGGGTACAATGAGTTTTGCACCAAGAGAGCAATGTTTTCGAACGCCCCATCTATCCCCATCCACTGCGATGACCATCCTAGTCAATGAAATTGTTGTGGTTATCAGCTACTGGTGTGTAGTTTATCCAGTGGTTTGTTGCGTTATTCCTGGATAAACCAGTCATCAGTACCACCAGTGCTTATCCAGTTATCAGTACCACTTGGTACTCTGGTGTTTGGTTGTGGATTCGCCGTGTCGGAGTTCGTGTGTATGGTCCGTTCGACGTTCTCCCGGTGCCTGGGTGAAGACCTGGGGAACCGAAGGACCGAAGGATGAATCCAGTCTCACCTTGATCATCCTCGGATCTGGGTGAATCCTTAGAGACTTTCTGGGTGAATCCTCACCTCTTCTGGGTGAATCCGAAACCAAACTTTCTCACCTGAATCCTCCTCTTTCTTGGAACATCCTTTTGTTTTTGTTCTCCGGGTTCCTCGACAGCAAATCAAAGTTTCACAGTCTCCTTTCCAGGAAGCTGGTGCAAGCTCAAGCAGGGCTGGCGGGAGAACCATTTTCGTCGACAATCGGTGTATCGGCTGGGTATAAGTCGGGAACTATACCCAAGCCATCGTAGATAAACATGTTCAACAAGGTTACATTGTATGTGCATAGTATATGTACATAGATATTTTGTACATTTGGTTGTAGTACAAAGTATACATAGTCACATATACAACCAACTGGTATTGTATTGTGTACATGGTATATATGTATTGTGTACATATTGTATTCCATTTGATCTGAAGGTCATTTATTGTGGTTGCCCTTCAGCTGTGCGTTTCACCCGTGGAGTGCGCGTGTGAACTGTGGTGCCTGAGGTTCCTGTGAGAGGGCTGCTGCATGGCAACATGCTGTCAGAGTCTTTGACCAGATGCTCCAAGCCCAGATCCAAGCTGATGCTCTCAGCTACTCTGTGGCCTGGCAATGGAAGGGCAAACCAAGGAAGAGGCAGTTCGTTCGGATTGTGTTTTGTTAGATGCGAGTCTGATGTGAGTGTGTGTCCCAGTACCAGCAACAGTCGTTGAAAAATAACATATAACAGACTTTGAGAAAGGCCTGCAACTGAACCACCATCGTCCACTGGACCCTGGTATACTGGGATATGCAGAACTATATGAGCATGTGTTCTTCAGAAGGAACCACCACAGCTTTCAGCATCACAGCTGTCCCGCAGCTAGTCACATCGCCTTGACAGCGCAGTTGTGGCGGTGCTGTCAGCGGTGTTGTCTCCCCAACGCTGACCGGTCGAGACCAACCGATGGTTGGACTGCTGAGAAAGAGGTGCATTTGGAGCGACACAGTTCATGTGACCGGGCACGGTTCATGAAGCCCTGTCCACGGTTCATGAGAACTGAAGGTGACAGGGCGTTCGGTCCCCTGAAGTCAGGTACTGGTAGAACGTTCCAGAACAACTTTTCAGTTTGTCCAGGTGCCCTTGTGCACACACACACAGACACACACACACACACACACACGCGCACACACTCTGACATTGGTTTTCAGTTAGCTCAGTTCCCAGGTCGAAAATGGCGATGGAACCGAAAGGTGGAAGAGTCCGCAAAACAGTGTGGTTTAACAGAAGGTTAAGCGTGACCGCAGAACACTAGTTACTGAATACTTAGCAGACCTAGGAAAGGAAAGAGTGAACCGAAAGGCAAAAAGTCCGAGTACTTGAAGGTGTTTTAACAAAGGTTGACGCGTGACTGCAGAAAACTAGTTACTGATTACTTAGCAGACTGAATTCACGCCATGCGAGGAAACCTGTTTTGGGGGATATCATGCGAAGAACCACCCTGGAAACAAACCAACAGCGGAAAGGGAAACAAGTGGAGTCATTGCGTTTGATGCAGGTACACAGTGGGGCGTCTTCCACTGCTTCAGCACCAACCGATACCCTCTTCGTTGGACAGGCAGTATCGGTGGTGACCCGTCCCCCTGCACTGAAAAGGACGAAAGGAGTCGAAACTCTTGGTTACAGAGGTTGACACACACAGAGCGCCGATATCGGCGCTCTGGAGGAACTTACCAACCACCTAAAAAGCCTTAGAAAGAAAGAAAAGAAAGACAGAAAGGGAAACGCAAAGGCAAGAGAGAAAGATAGGTGTAGTTACGAGGCCCACTAGTTACGAAACCTGTTAGTTACTGAATACTTAGCTGCATGAATTAAATTCATTAGTTAGCGAGCCGGAAATTCGTCTTAAACCGCCCGGGTAGCTAGGAGTAGAAAAGGAGAAACAGAAGGAAAGGTACCGACACACAAGTGTGTCGAGTACCATTTCCTTCTGTTACCCTAGATAGCGGGTGGGATAGAAACACGAATTGGTTGCAAGGTGGGGGGGGTGCGTGGATGTGCATGTGTGACACATATATATGGCCGTAAGCCCGGTGGCGTGGAAGGTGAGCCGCAAGTGGACATGTTCAACTCAAAAGCTCACTCAAAACGACTGACAGCAAAGGTGGACGTATTGTCGTAGGCCCGACGGCATGGTGTTTTGGGAATCCAGTAGTGAAACAAAGTCAGTTAAGAAAATCCAACGTGTGCAGAACGGAGGAAAATCAGTTAGTGGCACCCCGGAATGAAGACAGCGCTCCCTTGTGGGAGATCACACCCAGCACCCAAGTGGGACGACTGAGCGGTTCACACTCTGAAATTGGTTTTCAGTTAGCTCAGTTCCCAGGTCGAAAATGGCGATGGAACCGAAAGGTGGAAGAGTCCGCAAAACAGTGTGGTTTAACAGAAGGTTAAGCGTGACCGCAGAACACTAGTTACTGAATACTTAGCAGACCTAGGAAAGGAAAGAGTGAACCGAAAGGCAAAAAGTCCGAGTACTTGAAGGTGTTTTAACAAAGGTTGACGCGTGACTGCAGAAAACTAGTTACTGATTACTTAGCAGACTGAATTCACGCCATGCGAGGAAACCTGTTTTGGGGGATATCATGCGAAGAACCACCCTGGAAACAAACCAACAGCGGCAAGGGAAACAAGTGGAGTCATTGCGTTTGATGCAGGTACACAGTGGGGCGTCTTCCACTGCTTCAGCACCAACCGATACCCTCTTCGTTGGACAGGCAGTATCGGTGGTGACCCGTCCCCCTGCACTGAAAAGGACGAAAGGAGTCGAAACTCTTGGTTACAGAGGTTGACACACACACAACTGTCGGTTGCCAACAAATCCCCGTGTGTTTTAGGAGGGATCGGCCCGCCCACAACAAATCACTGAATTTGAGGTTCTACTGTGAGAAGCACATATATTTAATTGTGGGGAGCTTCGACTGGGATCTACTCCATCTAGTGACTAGTTCTCTGAGGCTGTCATCAGCGCTTGTGAGAAGGGTGGCCACTGGCAACATGCATTGATTTTCTCCATCAACGCCAGCAGTACCGAAAAAGAAAAAATTCCTTCAGACGTCCTCTCTTCGTGTGCTGAAGGTCAAACCTTGCCGAGCGCTTGGTCAAACCAGGTTGATCAGTTGGAAGCACAGAGGGTCACCAAGGTGCCGCATTCAACAAGCAAACCGACCCTTTCAGTGCCAAAGCGACCTGCTGTCCCAAACAGATTTGTTTTCATGCCTAAGGGTGTCGGGTAGACATTTTATTTTCCTGGCGGTGAAGGTGAAGGATGGATTTCTTTTGCTGCCAACGACTCACATGGTCATCCATGGTAGCACATTGGTCATCCATGGTCCAGGGTCAGCTTAAGGTTTGCAACTTAAGGCTATCATATCTAGTGCTTTCAGGTCAGGCACTCCGTGTTTGTATAAATTGGTTTTATCAACTTCATGATGTCTTGGATTCTTCAACCGCTTTGTCCCAGCCAACCATCCGGCAGGCGCTGGTCGAGCAGCCCAGTCCAAGCACAGGCAGCGCTGGTCGCCCAACGGTCGCCATCACATTGGTGGACGCTGTTCGACCATCGGCAAGCCGCAAGTCGTTTCCCGCAGCTTCCGTACCCAATCCATGCCAAACTGTTTAGCTCGGTCGATCTGGACCCAATCCATGCAAAAGACAGTTGTAGAATGTAGACTCTTCATCATAACGGAAACAAACACATACCAAAAATTTTTACAATCCATGTTCTGGGGCGTTTTACGACTGAAGAGTATATACTAATCTGAACCGGATGAGCCTGGCTTCAAAGTCCGATTCCGAGATCTGATCTATCTGAGGTAGACAGGCCAGTCCTTTAGATGTTTTTTTTTGGATACTCGTTTTCATTTTCGGTGGTAAGTCCTCACGTCATGGGCATCGACTGCGGAGACCATGTGAGCCTGGCATTTGTGCTGTCGGCAACCTTGGGATCAAAAAAACACCTTCTCGAAATTTAAAACATCAGACAACGTGGTTTGACATCCAAATGATGGGAATCCCAAAGACCCAAATGGATTGAAGAGAAGACATAGCCCGATGCTATCGCACTTCTTCTGCGACATTCAGAAGTTCAGTGGCTTCTAAAGGCCCCGTTGCACTTGTAAAGTCATGTAGAATCACATCAACCTTTGGGCCATGGGAGAGCGGGCTCCTCCCCATACCCGCAGGTATTTGGCACCGAAGAACCAAACCCTAGCTATATGATAGGGCCCTACTAGGAACAAGAAGCTATTAGGGGCTCCTGGCCTTACTACTAGG